AGAGCATGAACGGGGGAGGGGCAGAGAGGGAGACACAGAATATGAAGCAGGCTCCAGGCTCAGAGCTGTCAGCAAAGAGCCCAACATGGGGCTCAAACTTGTGAACCACACCAACATGACCTGAGCTGAATGAAGTTGGACGCTCAACCAACTGAGCCACGCAGGTGCCCCTTGGAAGGACTTTTCTCAAAGCCTCTCAACTCCCCACTCTTCAACCTGAGCCCCACATAAGGAGTTAAAGTAATTCTAACCATTGGAACTGGCTGTGACTATGCTTTTGTCTTCTGGGCTAACACAAAACCTTCTCTGGAAGATAATGGAGAAGTTTCCCTCAAATCAGTATTGTCTGATTTCTATTATTCCACCCAGTGATTCATGCATGATTTTGGAAGCTAGAAAGCTTCAAATTTTTTGTGTGATTCTAGCTCAGACCAAATGTTTTCATTTGATCTAGAAACAGGGAGGGGCTATCTTACTCCAAGAAGCTAATCAGATATATGACTGAGATGACAAAAAATTGGATATGTAATTGTCCAGGAAAGTCTTTATCTCTAGCCATATTTCAAAACAAAGGAAATGGGTGGGGGCGTGCATCAAAATGATGGCTGCTTCTGGGGGCCCAACAGTTAATTCATCATTAATACTTTAAAGTAATATAAATGTTATAGGAGGGGGAGTTTATAAAGGCCCAGAGAGACAGACATCTGAGATTTAGTCTACTAGAAAATATGGAAATGATCAAATCCACACCCAGGGTGATCTCATGGCACACTAGTGACCCCAGCAAGTCAGCCCTAAAGAATAACAAATAACTTTCTTCTTTGTGAAGGAGGAGCCAGTGCTATGCAGAGGATAGGCCTCTGGAGATCAGCACGTACTTCCTGTTAACGATGTTCTCACTGGCTCTACCCATTGTAATTGAATTGGGCTATAACATGTAGCTTGTGCCCAATGTGATTGTTACTCTTTTGTTCAGCAAATGTGTATCAAGCATCTGTTTGTTTCCATACCCTGTGCTAGGCACTACTGTTACCTAGAAACAGCACAGTCATGTTTCTTGCCCTCATGGAGCTTGTAGTCTAGTGGGGAGGGGAGTTGGCTGCACAGCATGAGCATCATTGTGGGCAATGAGGAAAGTGCTCAGTGCTCTGGATGTCACGGAAGGTACATGGGACAAGCAAGCCAGACCGGAAGGATGAGGAGGAACCCAAAGGGAGGAATGCGTTCCCAGGAGGAGGAAGGACAGTCTACAGGAACTGACCTTGGAAAGGTCAGTATTGATGGTAGTTCTTTGCACTTGCTATTCCCACAGTGAAGTAAACAGTTCCTGCAGAGAGCCCCACAGAAACCTTCCCTGACCTTCTTCAGAGCTTTGCTCAAAAATCACTTTCTTATGGGGCCTTCCTGCTTAAAATTGCAGCCTACACTGCCATCCCAGCTACTCCTTACTCCCCTCTCTGCTTTATTCTTCTCCAAGTCACAAATCACTGGCAGACATAACTTATGTTCCACTTACTTGTTATCTCTTCCCTCTCAATGAAATCTATGTGCAGTTTTCATGGGGCTGGAGACTTGTTTGCTTCTTGCACTGCTGTATCTGCTCTACTGGGCATAGAAAAGGCACTCAATAAATATTTCTTGAATGACTGAATGAGGCAGGAGAGATAGTCCAGGGCCAGGCAAGAAGGGTCTTATAAGCTTTTTAAGTGGGTTGGCCTTCATGCTGGGGGCAAGGGCCTTTGAATGTTTTAAGCAGAGTGGTATGGTCCACTTTGCATCTTGGAAAGATCAACCAGGTTGCAGTATGGAGCATGGGCTGGAAAGCGACATCAGATCAAACTTTGTTGTGTTCTGAATCATGACATCATTTTCATGTTGTGGTAACAGGAGAGAGAGCATGGCCCGAGACATTGGAGAGGCCCTAGGCCCCTGTATTAGCCCATTCTTCCTTCCTTGTTGCTAGATTCATCCAAATCACTCCTCCTAGCACATCAAATACATTTTAAGGTTGCAAATAAACTGGAGTATTGCTGTAACTTTATCTGCAAGGTAGATTTGATAACCATTTGTGGAAGCTATATGGAGTCTGGGGCACACGGTAATTACCAGCTGCATAGCTTTGGGCTAATTACGTTAAATAACTCTCAGAGCCTGCAGTTCCTCATCTGTGAAATGGGAATACCAAGAACTGCCTCACAGGGTTGTTATGAGCATTCAATAAAATGATTACAATTCTGAAACACAGGAAGGTCCTTTTTTCCACTTTCCTATTACACTGACCCCAGGTATGAATTAATAACCAGTCTTGGATTATCCTCTATATATATATGGGTCCCCTGTGTCTTCAATGATAAAAATAGGTGTTATGACTAGTGTTCCAACGATGAAAAATTACTTTCTATAAATATTTGGGGATTTAGACTAGCTCTTGTCGCACTGTATATCATTCCTATGAAAGTTGGGCTTTCTGCTTCTCTTCACAGGGAGCCCAGCAGTCCTTGGAGGCAGCAGCTCAGAAGAGAGGAGAGCCTCAAAGTTGTATAAATAAAGGGCTGATATGTTCAAACAGAAAAGAATTTTACACGCACAAGCTGCACATCGACATGACGCCGTTCCTGAAGGTGATCTCACACTGAGAAGACGAGGAGTTTTATAGACACATACACAGGCATCCCAGTTAATACATTTCTGCATGGTACAAAAACAGCTTCAGAAGTCCCTCAGAGTTCCTGCTTTATCAGAAAGGACAGAAAATAGGCAGTTTGTAGCAGATGAAGGAAGAACAAATTAGGACGGTAATCACAGCCAGCCATCGGGGACAAATCAGTTGGGTGTCTGGTTTGGGTGGTGGGGGACAAAAAAAAAAGAGATGAGAAAGGATAACCTTGAACTACCTCATAAAACAAACAAATATAATTCATTTTATCTTGACAGTAGCTAAAATAATTGTTACTGTTTTATCACTGTAACTGAGTAGAGCTGGTATTCTGACTGGAGAAGACTTATTTTTGGTAACTATTTACAAGTCAACTGCATATCCTCTTTGGATGTCTGACCTTATTGTCTGTTCTCTGAGAGTTCATTATTCTCCTAAGCTCAGTTTCATATCTAGTTAAGGGTACTGAGAGTTGCTATGGTGGGGATGTCATTTGTCCACCTTTGCAATACTCTGTCCTGCCCCAGCATCTAACACAGTGCCTGGCACATGGAAGGTGCTCCCTAAATGCTCCATAAATTGACTGCCTTCTTATCCAACAGCCCTTTGGGCTTAGGGTTCTCTTCTTACCCATTCTTTGCCCCCCTCGGAGCTAAATGGACCAGAAATAAATGATCAGGGAGTAAAAGAAACTAATCAGGAACAAAGCAAGGCTCCATAAATTGACTGCCTTCTTATCCAACAGCCCTCTGAGCTTAGGGTTCTCTTCTTACCCATTGTTTGCCCCCCTCAGAGCTAAATGGACTGGAAATAAATGATCAGGGAGTAAAAGAAACTGATCAGGAACAAAGCAAGCCTTGGCTTAGAAGGATCTCAGATCCTTTATACTACCCTAGAGAACAATATCCCAGGCCCTTGATAGTGACGAGGAAAGACAGAAACAGAGGAGAGGAAACCAAATATATGTAGGTTCGTGATGGTGGCACTATTCAATGCTATAGACTGTCAGAGACTTCAGGGGTCATGAGGGTCACCCTCATAACCTCAGCTAATCCAGAGTTCTCAGGTTACATCTTCTCTGGGCTATTCCAATCCCAGCCAGAACTGACAATGTGGGGCTTTGATGAAGAGTGATGTATTTGCCCCAAATCTGTCTCACTCTGTGGCTGGGCTCTGCTTTCCTCTGTTTCCTCTTAGATAGGCTCTTTCCCCATGTAACAAGAGGACTATTGACTTCTCTTTCTAGATCATTCTGGAACTGAATCTTATTGACCCAAGTTGGGTCACATGCCCGTGCCCAAATGAATCACTGTGGCCAGGAAATTGGAATACACTAACTGACTCAGCTTGAGGCTACAGGGACTAAAAGTGGGGAGAGGAAGAATGTTTCAAAAAAGAAAACAGGGTCCTTATAACCAAAATAAGAAAGAATGATTCTGGGCAGGAAAAAAAAATGCTACAAGTATTCAAAACAATTACTTTGATTCATTTCTTATTATATTAGTTTCTAGGGCCACCAAACAAAGTACCACAGACTGGGTAGCTTAAACAATAGAATTTATTTTCTCACAGTTCTGGAAGCCAGAAGTCTGAGATCTAGGTGTTGGCAGGATTGGTTTCTTCTGAGACCTTCCTCCTTGGTTTGTAGATGGTCATCTTTTCCCAGTGTCTTCACATGGCCCTCCTTCTGTGTGTGTGTCTGTGTCCTAATCACCTCTTCCTCTGAGGACACCAGTAATATTGGATTAGAGCCCACCCTAATGATGAATGCATCTCATTTTATGTTTTAAAAAAATTTTTAATGTTTATTTATTTTTAAGAGAGAGAGACAGAGTGTGAGCAGGGGAGGGGCAGAGAAAGAGGGAGACACAGAATCCAAAGCAGGCTTCAGGCTCTGAGCTGTCAGCGCGGAGCCAAACATGGGGCTCGAACCCACAAACCATGACATCATGACCTGAGCCAAAGTCAGATGCTTAACCTACTGAGCCACCCAGGCATCCCTGTTTTTAAAGACCGTATCTCCAAATGCATTCACAGTCTGAGGTACTGATGATGGTGGACTTCAATATACAAATGTTGGAGGAACACAATAGAGCCCAAAACACCTACACTAATGAAACTATTCTTTTTTTCCTTAGCATCAGTTTAGTTCTCCCTTTAAGGCCTAAAGAATTCTGGTTGGTACTTTACAGGATGAGGTATCATCAGTATCATCACTATTCATTCCATCTATAGTGAGCATCTACTGCTACTCTGTGCCTGACCCTTTCTGGGCATTTGGAATACATCAGCAAACAAAACAGACCGAGATCCTTGTCCTGCCCCAGGCAACACGTATAGTATGTTCAAAGGTGATAATTACTATGGAAATGAGATAAGTATATTTAGGGAACATCTGGTAACTGCAGAATTCAGAGTATAGAATTTATAATAATTGTTTTGCGTATTTAATGTCCACAGTGCTTTTGTGGTACACTTTTTGTTCAGTAATGTTGGTACCATGTTACTGAGGGAAGGGGATGATCATCCCTAAGGTCCACTTTCTGGTCCACCCTTTTTAAGACTAACAGAAATTGTAACTCCGTCTGCTTCTACAGGGGACTTATAGGGACACACTAGGCTTTCTGACTCCCAAACTGTCCTTGCCCAAAAGAGCACACCCTTTCTTGCAAATGTTCAGTGTTAAAACTCTCCTTAGGTAGACTTCTTATTTGACATGGTAGCTAGATTCTTAGGGGTTGCCTTCTATTAGAAAAGGACAAATCTCAGGGCTTGTATAGAAAAGGATGGTGAATTCAAACAGAAAGTTCTGTCCTCAGTTTCTTGAGCTTTATAGAAACCAATTCATTCTACACATGTCATTTGTGTATTTCCTGTCAATCCACACAACATTTCATTCATTTTTCCTAGTGCCTATAGGAAGCATTGCACATTTCAGGGGATAAAGGTGGGAGATAAAAATATCGAGGCTGAAAAGGGAAATGGAAAGAGATGCAAATAATCATAATTGCTAACATTACTGAGCACTTTCTCTGTGCCAGACTCTGTTCTAAGTTTTACATGCAAGAACTCATTTAATTCACAAAACGAATCTAGGAAATAAGTAACATTATCCCATTTTACAGGTAAGAAAACTAAGGCATTGAGAGGTTAAGTAACTTCCCAAATGTCATACAGTTGGTAAATGACAGGAACCAGATAAAAGACAGCCCATCTCCAGAGCCCATGTTTTCAACCATCTGCCACAAAGCCTCACTGCAGACACCAAATGAGTGACAGTCATTTCTGTGACTGTGCTTCCTTTTTAGTAAAATGGAAATCATAATACTGGGACCTCCATACCCATCTCTCAATGGTGAGGCAAGGGTCACATGAAACAATAATTTTGAAAGAATGTTCACACCTACAAGAGATTCAACTCATAAAGGAGAAATGAACAAACATTCATTGACTCCTGCTCAGGACCAGGGCCCTCACATATTGGAAATTTATTTAATTTTCCTACCCCTTTCCTGGTGAGTGTATAGATTCCATCTGTACAGATGAGGAAATTGGGGACTGGTAAAATGAGACAATGATCAGTGACATGGCTGCCAGCAGAGAGAACTGGGATTCAAAGCCATAAAACCCACAATACGTGATGTTGATGAGGTCTATCTACTACATTCTTATGAAAATTTAATTATACATCTTTGTTTTGGCTTCAGAACCTAGGAGAGGAACAGAGATTTAATAATATATTTTAATCTTAACACAAGATACCTTATGATTTTCATAAATTGGTTTTATTTATTAAAGAAAATGTGTGGGGTCTTTTTTTAAATTTTTTTTCTTTATTTAAAAAAAAAATTTTTTTAACGTCTATTTATTTTTGAGACAGAGAGAGACAGAGCATGAACGGGGAGGGTCAGAGAGAGGGAGACACAGAATCTGAAACAGGCTCTAGGCTCTGAGCTGTCAGCACAGAGCCTGACGCAGGGCTCAAACTCACGGACCACGAGATCATGACCTGAGCTGAAGTCGGCCGCTCAACCGACTGAGCCACCCAGGCACCCCTAAATTTTTTTCTTTAAATGTTTATTGGTTTATGAGAGAAAGAGACAGAGCATGAGTGGGGGAGGGGCAGAGAGAGAGGAGACATAGAATCCAAAGCAGACTCCGGGCCCTGAACTGTCAGCACAGAGCCTGACGTTGGCCTCAAACCCACAAGACGAGATCCAGATCGTAACCTGAGCTGAAGTTAGACATTTAACTAACTGAGGCACCCAGGCGCCCCCATGTGGGATCTTTTAATGCATAAGAAAAGTTGTACTACTGCCTTGAAGTTAAAACTCTTAAAGGAGATACTGATTTTCTTCCATTATTAAGGAGGTCATTTAGATGTATGTATTGTGGTATGTTACACAGACTTTCTAAACGTATTTTCCTAAACAGGCCTTTTAAGAACTCTGTATGTATTTATTATTACTCCATTTCAAAGGTGGAGAGAGTGAGTTTCAGTGATAGGTCATGCGGCTGGCTCCTGGCCCACAGGAGCCCCACATCTGACTCCAGCATCCCATGCTCCTCCAGTCCCCTGGCAGCTCCTCATGAAAGCCTGCTGTGAGCCTAGAAGTACCATGCTCAGATGGGGTGCTGTGCATGAGGGTAGTGGGCAAGACCAGAGGAAGATTCTCCAAGGAGAGATGAGAACTTCAGGTCACCTGGCCGAGCCCCTGTCAGTTGAAGCAATTGAGGCTCAGGGTTTAAGTAACTTGCATGATCTGTAAGGCATGATGTGTAGGAGTCAGGGCTTCCAGGGCAGGCAGTCCGACTCCAGGACCTGCACCCCAGCCACTCAGGCAGCTGTGTCTCATGTCTGGTTTCGGTGCTGCAGTTTGTGTTTACAAAGTGTTTGTTACTATCCCCACCCACCCACAGCCCTATAATACCATACTGCTGCCAGTGCTCTTTCTAAATACAGCTCAGTCATATCACTGGTTTGCTTGAAATTCCTTACCATGTCCCCATTGGCCTTCTGGTTAGATCCTGGCATCAAAGATGTATTTCTTTCATAAATAGAAAAATATAACAAATCAATTTTTTTTAACTCCATATTGCAACCGGCAAAACCTGGCCCCTGTCTAATTCACACTGTCCGTGCACTGCAGCCACCCCAAACTGCCCCCTGACCAGCACATGCCTCTTCCTCTGCCAGGAACTGCCCTACCTCCCTTTCTCTGCAAGACTTAGCACCATGTCCCCTGGTAAACAAACATTCCCCAGACTAATTTAGCTTCACCTTCTGAGGTCCTGCAGAAACCTGTCATAATCTGTCACAACATTTATCACACAGCATTGCAATGCTGAGGTTTTATGTCATTTCTCCACAAGCCAGCAAGCTGCTTGCGAATAGATCTTTCATCCTGGTGCCCCCAATGCCTAGCACATGACCTGGCACACAACAGACACTCAATAAATGTTCATGGGCTGAAGGAACAGATGAAGAGCAAATGACTTGGCCAGAATAACTGATCTAGGATTGAATTTTCAGTCCTTCAGCTTCTTTGGCACACTCACCAAGTGTCATTACACTTGTTTCAATGTTTCAATCATTCAGTTTAGTCATTGCACTTGTAACTCATATTAAAAATGACAGATTGTGTGGTGCCTGGGTGGCTCAGTCTGGGAAGCATCCAACTCTTCCAGATGAGGTCACAATCTCACAGCTCCTGAAATGGAGCCCCGCGTCCAGCTTTACGCTCAGTGCGAAGCCTGCTTGGGATTCTCTCTTTCCCTCTCTCTCTACCACTACCCCCACCCTACCCTGTGCTGTCTCTCTCTCTCTCTCAAAATAAATAAACTTAAAAAAAAAATGACAGGGGCACCTGGGTGTGTCAGTCGATTGGGTGTTTGACTTCAGCTCAGGTCATGATCTATGTCATGGTTCATGAGCCCCACATCAGGCTGGCTGCTGTCAGCACAGAACCCACTTCAGATCTTCTGTCCCCATTGCTCTCTGCCCCTCCCCCGCTCACACGGGCATGCGCACGTGCTCTCTCTTTCTCTCTCTCTCTCAAAAATGAATAAATGTTTAGGGAAAAAATGACAGGTTGCATTTTGTTTAGTTTTAGGTGTTGTGTGTGTGTGTGTATTTAAGTGGGCTTCACACCCAGCATGGGGGCTCAAATTCATGAGCCTGAGATCAAGTACTGGGTTGGGATCAAGAGTTGGTGCTTAACTAGCTGAGCCACCCAGGCACCCCTGTAAAGAGATTATTTTTAACAGTTGTGTAGTATTCCATTGTATGAATTACCATAATGTATTTGACTAGTCCTCAACTGGTAGGACTTTTAGGTGGTTTCAGTCTGTTGCAGTGAATAACCTTAGGTATAAGTCATTTCTCATGTGTGTTCATATATCTAAAACATGACAGGTTTTTTTTTTTATAGTTTTCTAAGCAACAGACAGAATTTCAAATTAAGACTACTTCTTGGGGCACCTGGGTGGCTATCGGTTAAGCGTACGACTTCGGCTCAGGTCATGATCTCACGGTGTGTGAGTTCAAGCCCTGCATCGGGCTTTGTGCTGACAGCTCAGAGCCTGGAGCCTGCTTCAGAAAAAAAAATTTTTTAATAAAAAAAATTAAAAAGACTATTTCTTTTTCTAATAGGGATGTGCCAGAAGGTTCTTTCAAAGTCCCTGACTCTCTCTGCCTCCATCTCCCCATCTGTAAAATGAGAAGAATATTTCTTGCCCCTGAAGGCTCATAGCTACATATTAAGACTGAAGGTTTATTCTTCTTGCCTTTGAAATTCTTCCAAAGGAGCAAGCTTGTTTCTCCCTTTTAATCCAGTTTCCTGTTAGATTAATAGGGCATGTCTTTCCGTTTATCTTTTTTCTACTCTTATAACTTAGCAGTTTACTATGACTGAGGTGGGTTTTCCTGCTGTAATTTTTCAAAAACCTTTCCATTTATTTAGGGATGATTTTTTTTTCTTTACTGCACCAAGACCAAATCCTGTTTGTCTCCAAAATGAGAAATAACAAAAGAAAGAAAATTACTTTGCTCGCTTTAGCAGCACATATACTAAAATTGGAGCAATACAGAGAAGATTAGTGTGGCCCCTGCATGAGGATGCTATGCACATTCCTGAGCATTCAATATTTTCTTGTATACCTGAAACTAATATAACACTATGTTGACTAACTGGAATTAAAATAAAAACTTAAGGGGAGCCTGGCTGGCTCAGTTGGAAGAGCATGAGACTCTTGATCTCAGAGTCGCGAGTTTGAGCCCCATGTTGAGTATAGAAATTACGAAAAAAATAAGCTTAAAAAAATTTTTTTAGAAACTTATCATAATAAAAGCAAAAAAGGAAGGAAGGAAGAGAAAGAAAGAAAATCACTTACCTGCTCTAGCTCTTTTATGTCAGAATCTCATTGGCTACAAACGGTAAGCTAACAAGTGAAAAAAACACAGGGTAAAAAGCTATAGGGCGAGATGAGAATGTCAAACAAATTAGATTAATTGTCTCTTTCCAGAGCAGCTTGGGTGTTTGATAATTAAGTAGAAAAACTGATTGTCACTAAAGGTAGAGGAACTTTAGTCCTAGGAGAAATTTCCAGGGCTCTCCATATCCAATTCCTTCTTTGTAGCTGAAGTGAAGCTAGGGACTCAGCAGAGATCCGCGTGACAAAGACCAAGAGCTGACTTCCTCAGACACATGTGGCTTTACTTAAGTCTTTGACTCTACCTGTCACATCACTTTGGCTACCAACGAGTTTCTCTTCTAATCTCTAGAGGAGATCAGTGACTCTCAATCCTGGCTACATGTTGGAATCACCCAAGAAACTTTAAAAATGCCCTAGTTCCAGGGGCGGCTGGGTGGCTCAGTCGAGTATCCGACTTCAGCTCAGGTCATCATCTCACAGTTCATGGGGTCAAGCCCTGTGCCAGGCTCTGTGCTGACAGCTCAGAGCCTGGAGCCTGCTTCAGATTCTGTGTCTCCCTCTCTCTCTGCCCCTTCCCTGCTCATGTTCTGTCTCTCTCTGTCTCTCAAAAATAAATGTTTAAAAAAAAAAATTTTAAATACCCTAGTTCCAGAAAGTCTGATTTTATTGTTTGGGGGTAAATATTAGATATCATACCTTTTAAATAATTCTAACTCATAGCCAGGGTTGCAAACCACTATTATGGAAATTTCTAGATGGTGGATTGCAAGCAATTTGTATGACTGAGAGAAAGAAGGAAGAGGGGATTCAATGTGATAAGAAACCTAATCCGTGGCAACCTTGGAAACTCCACAAAAGGCCAATCTGACCCTTTTGCTTCCTTGCCTTACACCTTCAGTACTTTCCATTTGTTCGAGATAAGACCAAAGCCCTTAATCTGCCTTCAAGTCTTTGGGAGTCTGATTCAACCCACCCTTCCTATTCTTTCTGCCTCTGCTCTCATCACATCAGTCATCCATCAAGTCCCTGGAGGTACCTTGCTTCCTTCTTCAGTTGGTCTGTGCCTGTGGCATTCTTCTCCCCACCCCCTCCCCCCAGTTAACGCCAGGCATGGAACACTGTACATGTGGATGGGACAAGCCTCCCACAAGAGAAATACAACTAAGACCCCCATAATGCTCAACAGTGCAGCTAAGCCCACCTGGCTCTTTAGGGCTATTCACACTGGTACTAGACTTCTTGGACACTGAAGTTAAAATAAGTTGACAAAGAAGGAGAAGAACTGGATTTCCAAAGGGCATAGACAATAGGAGTGTTTGCCTTTATTTTGTCTTATGTACTTTTTTTTTGTTGTGTATTAACCTAATAGGAAAATGGAGATGAAATGGACTATCATGAAGAACCAGGAGGACCCCTCAGAGAAAATCATCAAGACACCCAAGGTAGAGACAGCCAGGTTGGGTTTTAAATCTTATCACAACAATCATCTGATGAGGTTTGCATTGGTTCAAAGATGTTAATGGGGAATGACCCTTCCATTTCCTCTCAGCCTGGAAGTCAGAAAACAGACCAATGTGCTGAGTTCAGACTCTGATTGTTCTTACTTAATGCATCACAAACCAACTGATGACGATAACATGCTTTTATATTTTTGGACTTACTGAAAGGTTTCTTTCCTGCCAGAGGCCACAGATTGATGGAAGAGAGTGGAGACTCTGGGGTATCACAAAAAGGTCACATAGGCACTTCCACTTTTCTGTTCCTCCTGCCCACAGGGGCGTTGGATATGCAGGTGCAGGAGCTGAGGCTCCCTGGCTAGAGGGTTAATATTCCAACGATGGTGGGGGGCAGTATCTTTAGAGACACAGACCCTGCTGCCCACCGCCCTGGGTAGTCAGGCTGTTTGAGTGCGGCTTCCTCCAAAAATGATGCTGCATTTAATAATGATGATTCTAGGAAACATTGGGCCCAGAACTGGGCTTTTTGGCATAGTTCATATTCCCAGACCCTGAGCTAGACTCTAATCTCTTCCCTGGGGGTACCTGTGCATGCTGTGTGATACTGCAGTTGGGTACGCCCAGGTACCAGAACTGTTCTTTATCCTCACTGCATCTTGCAGGAATGGAAATAGATAGGTGAGAGATACTTGTGTTCTCAAGGAGTGGATGCAGTGCCAGCCAGAAAGAATTGCTTATTGTTTGCTGTACAAAGTCATCCAGCAGAGAGAGCAAATAGGGGCCTGTGCTCTGCCCCCTAAGCCATGCACCTCAGGACTGGGGGTATCCATGCAGAAGGGGCTCCTTTCCCCCTTCTACCGGCCCTTCTACTGGGGTGCCTTTCTTGAATTCACATAAGGTGCTCTATATAGGCTAGCAACAGCAGCTCTGTTCAGCTGAGTGGAGAATGTGGGCTCTGCAGTTGGACTACTGCCTTAACCCCTCTGTGCCTCAGTGTCCTTAACTGAGGCTGAAAACAGTATTCCCCTCCTAAGGTTGCATGAGAAATAAATGAAGTAATTCATATACAGTAACCCTTTAACGAATATTGTATTATTTTTTTTTAAGTTTATTTATTTTGAGAGAGAGAGAAAGAGTCAGAAAGGGGCAGAGAGAGGGGGAGAGAGAGAGACTTCCAAGCAGGTTCTGCACTGTCAGTAGAGAGCTCAATGTGGGGCTTGAGCTCACGAACCTGAGATCATGACCTAAGCTGAAATCAAGAGTCAACCACTTAACCAACCGAGCCACCCAGGCACCCTAATACTGTATTATTTTTGAGTTGGATATCATAATGATTAAATGTCTACCCTCTCAGGGTCACAGTTTTCCAACCTTGAAATGACACCATGACTCTTCCTATCTCCTCTAGACCCCATGAGATGAGGAGACCATGAGAGCTCACTAGAAATAAAAGTGCAAAGTCATGGATTTGGAATTTCACCTTAAATTTGATATTTTTCTGTTTACATATTTTACTGTTTCTTTCATTTGATATTCTAAACAAAAATAATTTTATACTCATTTAAAAAGATTTCACTGCTGGGTACGTGGGTGGCCCAGTTGGTTAAGTATCTGACTTCAGCTCAGGTCATGATCTTCAGCTCAGGTTCATGAGTTTGAGCCCTGCTTCGGGTGAGCAAGAGCCCTGCTTCAGGTGAGCCCTGCCTCACTCCCTCTCCCCCTCTCTCTCTTGCTGCCCCTGGCTCACTTGTGCCCTTTCCGTCTCAAAATAGAATAATAAAATAAAAGATTTCACTGTTTCTACATATCAGACAATAAAATATTATGGTAGCCCAATCTCTGGGTTTGGTCAAGCTTTTAAGCAGAGTTCTTGCTAAAATAAGTCTCCTGCCCCCTCCATTTTCAAAGCTGAGTGACAGTAACCAGGGAAACAATGCTCCAGTCTTCAGACCTTCCATATCATAAGTCACATATGCAGAATGTGAACACTGACAAGGCTCCAAGTGCAATGGGGGTTTTAGGCAGTGCAGAACATGGCCAAATCTAAGCAATGACCATGTCAGTTGAAACAGTTTTCCTTTCTCATGACAGAGGAACAGGCTTCGGCTGAGTTCCACAAAGGTTATCCAGACAGTCTTTAATGCAGTGAAATATCACTGCAGAAAATTAAAGAAGGCATTTGCCTGTCCTGAATGATAAATGCTAATGTTTAAAAAAAGATTTCAAATCTTTGTAGGAAGAAAAGAGAGCTTGCCAAGGAATTTTTTTTAACTATTTAAGGATCGATTTTCCCCATATAGGCCTTACATCTAATTGCCAAGATTTTATTCTCTACTACTCTAAATTAAGTAGTGATCTTCATGTTTAAATTATGAGCAGTGAGCCAGTGCCATATCTACCAAGAATACCTTGCATCTTACACTTGGTGAAATCACTGCATGCAAGTTTTCACCAGACAAATCAAATTGGCAACCTCCAAATCAAATCGGGTTTGGAAAATTGCTCATGTTAAATACAAAACTTTCCTTTCCACCTCTTTTCCCCAACCCCTCAGTCCAAAAAAAGAATAAAATTTCAAGTCTTATTTATTTCCTAGGCCAGTTGTTCTCAAACTTTAGTGTGCATCAGAACCCCCTGAAAGTCTGGTTAAAATAAATTTGGGGTCCTTCCCCTAGAGTTTCTAACTAGATCTGGGTTGAAGTCATCTGTAAAATGGAGGTGCCAATACTACTTACCTCATGAGGTGGCTGTGAGATAAAGGAGTTAATACATGTAATGTGCTTATGAGAGTGCCTAGCACAGAGGAAGTGCTCACTATGGGTTAGCTATCAGTCTATTTCTTAAAAACCTTAATTTAGTAGCTGTAAGTCTTGTCTCCTTGTCAGGAGAGACTTGTTCTAAGTTGATAACATGATGATTACTTTCTAGGTCAATCTCAGTGATGGGGGCTTGAACTTGGCAAGACTGGTTGAGTCCGTTGTGTAAGTCCTTCTTTTACTTAAGTCCACATGTGGACAGCAGACCCAGTCTGAACAAAGCAGCCTTGCCAGCCTCTGCCTTCTGTGAAAGGCTATGTGCAATAGTGATGTAACCCCTTACAATGTGGCAGAATTTGAGATACTCTTAGAAAGAGTGAGAGATTTGAGGAGCCCTGCATGAGATACAGGGGGGTCCCTAATGAGTAGCCTGAAACAATGGGGGGAAAAGACAAAAGGCAGGTCTTACAGAAACCCTTAGAAACCAGTGAGCCATTTCTATTCTACTAGGGAAAAAGAGGCCCAGAGCATTATTGCTTTATTGAAGAGATGGGTATGCAGTACTTGGGATATTGATGCAACTGTTCTAACAAAGAACAAGATAAAGTGACTTCAAATAAGATGGAAGGTTTATTTCTCTCTCTCGGAAAAGTCCAAGCTGGCAGACAAGAGGTAGGACAGCCCTGCCCCAGGTTCCTTCTCTCTGCCATCCCCTTTGCCATTACCCTTCTCTACATCTTAAAGCTGGCTCAGCATCTCCTCATCCTGAGGACAGGAGAGAAAACATCAGTGTTGGGCCCACAGCTGCCTTGTAGGAGCATAAATCCCATTGGTCCACTTAGCTGTAGGGAGGTTTGAAGGCCTTTCCTCGGGGGCAGTTCCTGGCTCCAGGAATAAACAGCTCCAGAAGGAGCAGATATAATGACTGCCCAACTTGTGCAATGAACTAAGGAGTAGCCAGTGTTGCAAAAAATTTCCCTTAAAGCTGTGGGAAAAATAGATCAGAAGTGTGTGCCCAGAAGTTGAGACAGTGCCCCTGCCCCAGAATCTACAACCTGGAAAGTGGCACCCCTGTACAGGGCTGCCACCTGAGGTCAGTCAAGACCCCTTGCTCCCCGATTTGCTCTATATGAAGCCTACACAGTCACTGCACACTGCCAGTACTGGGTTCAGAATTATCTGCTAGTTCCTAGCAGCCTAGATGACCTCCACACTCTGTTACTGCTTTATCTTTCCTTCTGAAAAGTATTTCAAAGCCCTCCTCCATGTCGAGCAGTTGTACATCCTTAAGAATGTTTCTAGCTCAGGGCACCTGGGTGGCTCAGTCAGTTGAGTGTCGACTTCGGCTCAGGTCATGATCTCATGGTTTGTGGGTTCAAGCCCCATGTCAGGCTCTGTGCTGACAGCTCAGAGCCGGGAGCCTGCTTCAGATTCTGTGTGTCCCTCTCTCTGTGCCTCTCCCCCACTTGTGCTCTGTCTCTCTCTCTCTCTCTCAAAAATAAAT